CCTCACATGGTCTTGACAGCACCTGTCAATGGCCACATCTCAAGAAGTACTGCACCAATTGGGATGAATGAGGGCTCGTTGGAAAGCTGGAGACGAGGAGGTTGCTGACGGGAGGATAGGCGGGCGCTGTGGCGAACTGTTGCGGAGTTAATTTTCACAATTTCCATTTCGGACCCGTTATCATATATTCCCCATTCATTCATATTTCTTTTATTGTTTCTTTGTTCCCAATTGGATATTCATCATTTACGGTTGCCTAACGCCCCGTTTACATTCCCCCAGTCCATTCATTCCATTTTCAATCCATATAAAATAGATAACAGCTTGTACATAACAAGTTAGTACTGAATAGACCCGTGAAGGGACAAGCAGAAGTTACATCCAAGTGGCAAAGATGCCATCCATGACCATAACGTTTCCCCTGAGCTAGTTGCTTACGTCTAAGACCCCTCTCATCATAATACTCAGCCTTGACGTCCAAGAGAGATGTAGGTGAGTGTTTGTTTGAGGTTTTTGCAGACTCAGTAGTGCCCATGGACCAAAACCTGGCCCCATGAACCTAACCCGTGCACACTACCACCCTCCCCCTCTCTCTGTCTCGAGTCTAGGCAATAGACCCATTACAATGGGCAGTGTCTGAGTACAAGGTACAGGACAGTGGTGGAAGGTTGTAACTTGGTGGAGGTTTGGCAGAAGAGGGTCAGAGGGAGGAGAGTGATGAGGGGAGAGGAGTGGAGGAGGAATGGTGTCAGGTCTGAAGGTGAGTATCGGAGCAGATGGAGGTAGGGTAGGAGAGGGATGGAAGGGTGGAGGTGAGGAGGAGGGTGGCAAGAGGGGTGATGTTCGGTCTGAAGGTGGATATTGGAGCAGACAGGGATAGGGTAGGACTCTGGAGGTGGTGAAGCGGAGGGTTTGGGAGTCGGTTTGGGTTTGGGTTTGTATGGATATGACAGCAATTGTTACTTGCAGTTCCTTGCATACAATATTGTGTGCAGGGCCTCAAGTTGGAGGAAGGTGTTTGTCAGGGCAATAGCCCTGAACCCCAAGCCATATGTAATTATGAGGTACATATAGTCACATGGGTAAGTGGTAACTTCCGGGTTAACTACTTACACACACCGTAATATACACACCATCGTATCACTTATGGCTCTGTGTGCTGAGCAATCCCACTGAGACCTCACACTTTTTTAAGTGTATGAGGTGTGTTTTACAACACAGCCCACCAAAACTATCACATTGTTGACTCAGTAGTGCCCATGGCACCAAAACATGCCTACAAGGGCAAGGTCACTTCTGCAGTGATGATAAAAAAGAACAAGCAGTTTATAAAGAAACTGCAATCTCCCATTATGGGAGATTCAAAGCAACAGCCATCATCAGACAACGATGAGGATCAATGTGATCCAGAAAGAACAACCACCTGTTCCCTGAAGGTTTTAAAAACTTACATGGAGTAAGTGCAGGGCCCAATACCCCTAGATCTCCATGACACATTGATCTCACCCAAGCTGGGGAAGATCTCTCACCTCCAGAGGGGGTGATCGACTTGCATGATAAACGCGTAAGCGCTGAACAATCAGCCTGAAAAGCTGATTGGATACAGTCACAGGAAACTCCAGGGCCCCACTATCCCCTGGAGTCCTCCCCCATTTCCCCAAGTCAAGCCCCAAAGGCAGACAAAGGGAAACAGAGGGAAGAACCTCTGCATTGGCTATCCAAAAAACTACTGGACTTGTTCCAGGTCCCATCCAAATGGAGGACAGAAAACAAAGAACAACTTCTTCTCAGGCTAAAGGCCCGAGAAGGTGCAAAGAAACGCCCTGAGGGCAGGATCTCTCAGAGTGTGGAAGCTCAAAAAGAACTTCTGCTGTTTACACTACCCCATGCCATGCCAGACAAGGCAAGGTCACCAACCTCAGAGGAGGTCTCCAAGATCATGAAGAAGAGGCAAACTGAAATGAGGGAGTTCACTGAGGAAGCCTTACGGAAAAGTAAGGAAAAACCAGCAAACAGACCCCTCCATGAAAGGGAAGTGCCCTCCATGACAGCCTTGCCCAAACAAAGCGAGCATGGAGTCTTTACTCCAGGAACCCCTTCTGGAACCCCCAGAAGTGGCAATGTTAACTGGGGAGAGTCACTACTTGCCCAGCCAAACTTCCTCCTGGAAAACCAGGAATCGCACAGAATAAACATGATAAACTCGATCCAAAAAAAGATTGAGCAAACGAGCCATCATAGCACAGCTCATCTAGAGTAGAAAGAATGGCCAACACAATCAATGCATTGACTGATAAAATCAGTGAGCAAACTGACTTGCTGAAGGAAATAAACTTCTCACAAAATAGTGAGGAAACAAAAAAAATACCCCTGGGCCATGGGCCAGGATAAAACCAGAACTCATGAAAAATTCACGAAAAGAACAACCAGTGAAAGTACACTGGAGTATCATCAGTGACTCAACAGAGACACAAAAGAGATTCTTCTCCCAAGGATAGGAGAAGATGATGCTGAAAGGAGACACTGCTCAGAAATCAGGAGGAGAATTGGCACGTACCAAAAAAAGTTCAGCCAAACCTCCACCTTTGATGAGCCTCTTGAACAGAGAGGTAACACAACCACACACTCTCAAAACAATGAGAGAATTCCGATACAATTTCAGGCAAAATTGCCTGAAATGAAAGAAACGCTGTGAGAAAGACTCCCTCCAGCGAAACCCCTCCAAAGGAGAAATCTCCATTGGGTAGCGACCCTGTGAAGGCAGGGGAGCAAGAAGAGTACCTGGAAAAATGGTATGAAAAGGCCATAAGAATGGCTGAAGTGAGAATACTCACTCCCTACCCAGAGGGAGTGAAGCCAGAAGCTCTAAAGAATGGGCTGGCTTTCCCTGACAAGAAATGGTCAGGGGAGAACGACATGGAGTTGTTCTGGCAGTGGTTCACAGAACTACTGGGATTCCTTGCCTTGTGAGGATGCAAAGGTCCCCAATTCAATGAAGTCCATCTGGACTGCTTGATTCATGGATTAGGGGGACCCACATTCGACCTCGGAATAAGACTCCAAGATGAAACTCTCCTCAGAGGAGATGAGGGCATGTTCCTCGAAGTTCTCAACATACTGATGAGAACTTTCATCAAAGCCTCTGCCATGTTGAATGCAACAAAGAAATACTGCAACGTTAAATACAAAGTGGAAAAAGGCCTAAAACAGTTCTACTTAGAACTGTCTAAAGCAGCATCCCAGATGGTGACACTGCCAGACCAGGTGTCCTTCAATGCCAGGTTTCTAAACAACATTCCCCTTGAATGGAAGAGGGAAATGATCGCTCATGACAGAATCAGAGTGGACTTCTCCTCAAATGAGGAGATGTTAAAAGCAATATCTCATGTAGACAAGATAATCGATGGGTTGAAGATGTCTTCAGCCTACAAATTGGGATATTATACCCAAACAACCACCATGGCAACCACGGGCCATGGTAGAGCTCTCCCATTGTCATATCTGTGCATACCCGATCCCGACCTGACTTCCCGACCTCCTTCTTCACCACCTCTGGAGTCCTACCCTACCGCTGTCTGTTCTGATATTCACCTTTGGTCCTGGCACCACACCTCCTCCCACCTCCCATGCCACCTCCACTCCTCCATCCCACTCCTCCCCTATCTCCTCTGCTCCTTCCTCACAACACCTCCACCCTTCCATCATCCTCCTACGCTTCTCCCGTCCGCTCCGATACTCACCTTCGGACCTGACAACTCTCCCTTCCGCCACTCCTTCCCTCTTCCCTCTCTCCTCTCTCTTCCCTCTGGCCCTCTTCTGTCAACCCCCCACCAAGTTACAACCTTCCGCCGCTGTCCCGTACTTCGTACTTGGACACCACTTGTACCTTTGCTCCAAGCCTCCATCATAGTCCCTACCTCGGACTTTGACTCCACCTTGGTCTTAGTCCATTGCATTGGTGACCTCATACTACATAAACACCATTGCCAATATTCCTCGGACTTTCAACCCCACCTCTGTAAGCTCCATAAGCTCCACAACCTCCGAGCTTCACGGATCATCTTTGGCACTTTCGCCGCTTGTAATGTATCTCTCGCGTTTTCCCCTCATCCCTATTTGGACTGCTGCTTCTTCCCATTCTAGCCAGTTAGTCATCATCCCCACTTCTCCTCATCCTCCTGCCGCTCTGGGCCTAGCCCTCCTTACCTCCTTTTGGACGTATCACAGGTTCTGCCTTATGACCTTCAGTACTGCTCCACTTCTGTCATCCCTTTGTTCCTGTTCAGATGCCTTTGTTCCAATTCGGATCCCCTTTGTTTCCTTGTGCTTTTGCCCTCTCCATCATATATATCGGCACTTGTACATACTCGTTTTAGCCCTTAGTCTAAAATCGACCTGAAATGCCCCCTAGAGACTTCCTGCTCGCCTACTGTGAAATTGAGGACCAAATGGACAAACAGCAATGGCACAGCGCTCTGCTTGAGTCACTGAGGCCAAGGTCCCTCCTTGCTAAGTCTCTGGTTCCCCTCCGGAATCGTCTGCCCTCACCCAGTTCTAACACATTGTGTTCAAGCGCTCATGCCTGTCAGGGCATGGGAAAACATTACTGTGACTCGCCATCAGTGACCGTTAAGGTCCGTTGCTCCGGCATAACAGCCCATTAAGGGCAGGGATGACAATTGCAGCGAAACGGGGTTTTGGCTTCAATGACTCATTCATGAGCATTGTGCCTCATACTTGATGTGGCCCCGATATTTCAGAGGGCAGGGGGTGTGACTGAGTCAGACAGAAAGTGCAGGGGGTAACCTTAGTTGATTTTCGAACTAAAGTATGAGGTAGTATACAACCGGTATTTAAGTGTAACGGAATGAATAGAAATAAGTTGCCAGATCTCATGGAGATTGCAGGCGGGCTTAAGAAGGAACGAAAACAAACAAAGAGTGTGGGAGAAAGATGGCCATGCATGGCCATCAAGAAAAACAAGCATGATAAGGAATGACTCATAGGCCCGTGACAGGCTGTGGAAACAGGTAGCTGTGACAGGGAAGGGTGATGGGCTTGTTCAGGCGGTGTCATGCAGGCAGCGGAGTTGATGGGGTCGAAGTGGAGGAGGGAGAAGGTGTGGGGAGTGATCACCTGACCATGGGAATTGCTGGGTCGTGACAATGCTGGACAGATGTTGCCCACTTCCACTGATTGTCCTGCATCCTCCAGTGATGTGAAGGGCTTGTTTTGTTGAAGCTGTGGATAATTTTCGGCCATCCACTCCCTCATTCGGACCTCCAGTGGCTTTGGTGGTGCTTTTTGTTTGAGCATGGCCAAGTGCGCTTTTTCTTCATGCCAGCTTGTTATTTCTGCCTTCTGTGAGTTGTTGAACACTTTCCACCGCTCCTTAGCCTCTTCCTTCCATTGTTCCAACTCTTGCTCATTTAATTTTCTCTGAGCGTGCTCTGCTTGGTCCCTCAAGAAACCATCATGCGTCACAACTTGGCCAAATGTCCCTTTAATGCATCCACCATCCTCCTTCAACTTCTCTGCTTCTTCCTGCACTAAGAGCTGTGTCTGAGCTTTAGACACATACATTCCCCCTAATGCCAACTGGGCATTTGCCGCATCCACTGCATCAATGGCTCTCTCCACCAACACTTGGGCCTTCCGAAACTTGTGCTGCATTTCTTGGTTTTCTTGCACTAATTCAAGGCAAGTCCTGGATCCTGAGTCACGATTGTCTGCGAGATCCCATTTAATTGGGGGTAGATCACTAAGTTGGCCATATGCACGTTCAGGAAGTTTGAATGTTGAATGGAGAGGTGAGGAGGACACAATGGAATTTGTGGATGAAGAAAATGACATAATATGTTCTAGGTCATTGATGGCACGCTTCTTTGCTCAGGCATGAGCTGGGGGAAAGGTAAGAGTCTCATTGGGGCTGATGGTGGTATTCTCGGTGCTGAACATTGTACACCTGGTGCCAGAAGATTGTGGTGATGTGTGGAGATTGTGGGTTGGGATGTTTGTGATTTGAGAGACAGCAAGCAAGGTGCAATTGATGATTGGTCCGTCACTTTCATCATCACTAACCTCGTTGTCTGGAACATTACTTCCACCTAGGTACATTCTAACATCCTGCAAGTTGTCCATTGGTGAAGGTGTGCATTCCCGTTGGTATTTATGAGACATCAGCTGACTGTGAAAGTGCATAATGCGCTTAACAGGTGAGGCCACAGGGAGAGGAAGATCTCCTTGGGTGGAATGTTCAATACTCAGTGCAAGTTGTTCTGGGTGGATGACACTTGGGTTGACTGGATAGATGCCAGTTACATGGAAGCTGGTGATAATGTGAGCTGGGGTTATGGTGTCTGTCCATGCTTGACTGAAGACTGATAGAAATGAGGATTTGTTTAGCTTCCTTGGGTAGTTTCATAAATTAAAAGCGTTGCGCTCCCTTGAGAAGCCCCGCTTTAAGAGGGAGAATATAACAACATCAAGCCCTGTCATATCCCGGAATCCCGACCCCACGCTCTCCCACCACACCACACCTTCCTAACAACTTCACCATCCCCTACACCATGACTCCCCACTCCCCAAGCCACCTTCCTTCCTAACTGTCTCAGCCCCGGTGTTAGGTACGGGTCAGCAAATGGGGACGACCAGCGGGGACAAGGCTCCGGGGTTGGGCTTCAGCCTCAGCGACTCCAAGAGAGCGCTGTGCCCACCTACTGTCTCAGTGCCCACATTTCGAAGTGGCTTGGGCTGCCTTGTTAGGGGGGACAAACCATGTCGATATTCAGACTAAAGTTATGATGATGTAATATACAAGTATTATATAGTAAGGAAACTGAATGGGTCAGGTGACAAACAAAACAAAAAGGGGCCGGCATCCGGGTCAGAGTGCATGGTCGTGACACCCGGCCTGGTTGCGGCACACCAAACCTTGGCCACTCCCATCCCGGAAGCTCGGTCCCAAGTTGGAACATTCAGAGACTCCGGATTTGCTCCAATATCCCGACGGACCTCCAACATCCTGTGACATACCCCTAAACCATTTCCCCACCCATTTCATTTATTGGAGTCACCCAACATCCTTCGGATACATAACTCCGCTTTTGGAGCTACCTGCATCCTTCAGTGACCCCACTTGCATCATCACTTATTAGTCACCTTCCATTCATAGCATGACTATCTTCTTTTACCATTCAGTCGGCTAGCCCCCTCTTACCCATTCCTTGTTCCCATTCATCTTCCAGCCTCTTACTCCACCCTCCTTGATCCGACACCTCAGTTCCCCATTAAGGATATCATTCGGGACCTTTCAGTACCTCTCGGTATCACTCAGCACCTTTCGGTTATCATTTGGACTTTGACTAAAGTCCTTTCCATTCCCCCTTATAAATACCTGTAGATTAGAACCTGTAGTTTTCCTTAGTTCTAATCTCGACTAAAATGCTACCCCAAGTCCCTCTGAGTGAATCCTGGCCCCTTTCTACAAGATACCTCAGACATAAGAAATACAAGGACCAACTGAGACATAATGGAGGCACAGCGCTCCCTCCGAGTCGCTGAGGCTGCATCTTTCTTAGAGCCTCTTGTACCACCCAGCAGAACTGGGCTTCCTGGAGAAGCTTCGGTTCACTACCGGAACTCTCGGACCCCCTCTAGTTGAGCCCCACCTGCATTCGGACTCACGCATTTTCCCCTACGATCCGGGGTTTTTGACAAGCCCCTGGAGAACTTGTGTTGTGTGTGCAGGATAACATATACCAACAATGTTGTGGTTGCATGCATATGTTATGAAGTCCAGACTGTAATGTGAGTTATGTCCATCCACTACCAGGAGATGGTAGCAGCCAGCAGCCTTGTGTTGCGTAGACTTGTTAAAGGTTTGAAGCCAGTCTAAGCCAATCTCATTGTCTGTCCACCCCTTTCCGATACAGTGACTCTAGAACACAAAAATATGAACACACATTCCATGTAATGAATGGGTAACTTATGCAGCCTGCAAAGGATTATCCTTCAACCACTTTGAATTAACATTCTGCCCCTTAAAAATAACAACCAGAGGCACTGAAGTGCCAGTCACAATCACACTGACATTCTCGCGATTCCCATCGCATTGAATGTGTGCCCTTTTTGTCATCCTGCATGCAAAGACCTTGACCCTTTCCCCAGTCCCAAAGGGAAGCCACTCCCATCCATAGCATAGATATCCTCATGTCGGAAATTGAAATGAGCTTGTAATAGTTGGAACCAGTGTTGGACAGCTGTTGGATTTACAGCACCACCCCAAGTACTTTCGAGATTGGCACTCCACTTGGGTTGAAGTCGGTCTTTGTTGTGTACTAAAAACCCATCAACCCAATTTTTGCCAAGCTTGGTGAGGGATGGGTGCTGTATCTGGGCAACTTCCAATGCATACTCAATTACATGATCGCGGGTTGCTGGGAATCCACGGTCGGACATAAGAAGAAGAAAGTCTACAAGTGTATCATTCTCCACCTGATTCAACCATGACTGGTTTATTGAGGCTTCAAGGTGACTTTTCCCACCATTGACCCTCCACATGAATGTCGGATAGGACACTCCACAATTGGAAGCATGTTCCTGAGCACTGGCAGCTTTTTCACCCTTCTGCTTTGCACATAGAATCTCAGTTCTGTATGAAGTCAGGGTTTTCTGCATGTGCAGCTCTGTTGCCTCAGCTGTAAGATGCCTATGGTGCTCTAAGGAGTCCATATGCCAGGCCGTTTGACAAAACAAGCAAGCAAGGCAATATAGGCTCCAGGAGAGGCAGGATTGGTGATTAACTTTTTGATTGTTCAGGTAACACAGATGAAAATTATGCTTCCAACTTAGGTTCCATGTCTCATCAAAACAAACAAACCCTAACACAAATAACACTGGCCTTTTGCCCACTGACTACATGGATGGCTGTTGGTGAGATGAAGACTGCAACATGAGGCCGGGGTGGTTAAGTTGCAAACATGGTGACTGTCACGACCCGACATATCCATCACTTCCCTCTATGCGCCCTAGTGCCACTTGACCCGTCCCTCCCGCGATCATCATCATCCGTCCACTCATCCATCCACCCATCACCCTCATCTGCACTTCCTCCCTCGCGCATGTACCTACCAACCTAGGTTGCCCGCTCCATTGTTGTCCGCCCCCAGCCGGACGGCTTGCTAGACGGCTGGATGGCCTTTTCTCTTTTGTCCGCTTGCGGACTATTGTTCCTCTTATTGTTCCTTGCTTGCCTTTTGTTGACCAAGTTTGCCGATATTGATTATTTGTTCCTTTCTTCATTCATTAATATCGCACTTGATCCACCACTCCTTCCGGGCCGGTCTCATTTAGTTACTTGTGTTTATAATGCATGTAGGTTACACCGGATGTACCTTAGTTCGTATATCGACTTGGATTCCCCCTCTAAACTCTTATCCTCATCGTAAGGCTTCTGTCTGAAATTGGGACACCAACGTAAGAACGAAGCGCAGCACTCCACCCGAGTCGCTGAAGCTAAAAGTCCCGCCCCTCCGACCTTATGAGCCCGGACGACCTCGCGCGCTTTGCAGGTCACCCGGATACGCATCTGGCACGTTCCTGACAGTGACTCTTCACATTCAAGTTTCTCATGTTTCACCGATTTTCCTTTATTTCATGCCTGCTTGACACCAAATTTGGTACATGAGTAGTCCTAGCAACCACCTATATCCATGCCGAATCTCACCACATATGATAAAGACCTGAACAAGTTAGGTGATCGTTTCTCATTTGGGGGTGTCTCATTCGGGGGTGAATAACTGTAGTCCTTGGGTCGAAATTTATTTTCAAAAAAAAAACTTCTTCTCTTGATCATTTTTCCCCTTCGCGATACCCATGTATTGCTGTTCACTTCAAAGTGATGGCCCCACACCCATTCATTCCCTCAATTTCTCTCGCTGACATGTACAAATCATCCACTTTAAAGTGGTGATAATAAAACACTCATTGATATTTTCAAACTCAATGTAACTTCTTTTTTTTCTTTTTATTCTCTTCATTGTATGCATCGCAAATGCAATGCAAAGGGGGAGAATGTCAGGGCAATAGCCCCAAACCCCAAGCCATATGTAATTACGAGGTACATATAGTCACGTGGGTAAGTGGTAACTTCCGGGTTAACCGCTTACACACACCATAATATATGTACACACCATCGTATCACTTACGGCTCTGTGTGCTGAGCAATCCCACTGAGACCTCACAGTGTTTTCATGGGCACCTCAATGGTGTATTACTGTGTCACTTTCCCTTTCTTCAAGGGTAGGTTATTGCCCTGGAGGAGGGTTTTCCTCTGGGTTGTTCATCTGGACATCTGATTGCTGTGTCAGATGTGATGATGTAGCCTGGGCTATGTTGTCAAGCTGTGGACTCGATGAAGTGGGCGCTTCCTGGGTGGGAGTGGGTTGTTGTGTTCCCAAGCCACTTGGCTCAGGTGTAGAGTATGGTAAGTTTACCATTCTTCCCATGGGGAAGGATGGTTGCTGGCCCATCTGTCCAGCATGGAGACTTGCATCTCTCTCCTGGTATTTGGAAGCTTTCACTTCCTGCCCTGCAGCTTTTGCAGCATGTTCCTCAGGAGTCCTGAGTGGTTTGAACTGGGACTTCACATAGGCAGCTTTGCCTAGTCTTTCCCAGGAGTTTTCCCCTGTTCTCCAGGGAGTTGTAATCCTCCACAAGTTTTGTGATACTTGGGAGTTCCAAGAAATATTTCTTGGTTTCCTTCACTTTTTTGCAAAGGTCTTTGCATACCTTGCCACTTTTAAAGGTGGTGTCATATCCATACAATTCCGACCTCCGCTCCGGGCTCCCGG